GGATTAGATAGAAATGTTATTTGTTTGTTGAATAATATTAATACGTCGAAAATAAAGTAACAGTAAGTTAGATAAAAATGTAATGTGTTTGTTGAATAATGTTAGTACGTCGAAAATAAAATAATAGTAAATTAGATAAGTATGTATTTCTTCGGTTAACAATGTTAATATATGAAAAATAAAATAACAGTAAGTCAGATAAAAATGTAATTTGTTTGTTGAATAATGTTAGTACGTCGTAAATTATATAAATATGTACTTCTTCGTTTAACAATGTTAATATATGAAAAATAAAATAACAGTAAGTCAGATAAAAATGTAATTTGTTTGTTAAATAACGTTAATACGTCAAAATAAAATAACAGTAAATTATATAAATATGTACTTCTTCGTTTAACAATGTTAATATATGAAAAATAAAATAACAGTAAGTCAGATAAAAATGTAATTTGTTTGTTAAATAACGTTAATACGTCAAAATAAAATAACACTAAATTATATAAATATGTACTTCTTCGTTTAATAATGTTAATAGGTCAAAAATAAAATAACAATATCATTAATTCCTCTACAGTATATAATATTATAATAAATTATTGTTATTATTATTATAATAAATAAATAAATATAATATTATAAAGCTATTATAAACATTTCCTCCGAAATTATTAATATAATTTAATAACTCAGCACTTACGAATTACGTCGCAATATAACCTGTACGGAGATCTGAATTACGAAATTACAATGCAATCTAATTGAATTACTTCGCAATTAGAATTCCTCGAATAATTCTGTTGTAATTTTGCGCGACTCTGGTTCAGCGTCGAACGTGCCTATTGAAATACAGATTTTTGACATTTGAATTTCAGAGGATGGTCAGTGCCGGAGCCTGGACCCGACGGAGGTACAGACCAGGGGGGGACAGAGAGAAGAGAAAGGTGGCCGCGGGGTGGGGGCATGCTCATTCAGCGACGACGCTGCCGTGTAAAGGCCATAAAGAATGGCAATAGGGTAGGAAAAGAGACGGCTGGCGCCAACCACCGCTACTTTGAATGTTGCTTTTATGGCGCATACCGCACCGGTCCAGCTGCGCGGACACGTTAATTGGTATACGCGCGGTACGGGCCAATAACAAGAGAGGCTCGGGGGATACGTACTCGACGATGTTGCTTCACCTCTCCGCTGACCCGTCGTCCCCGCCGTTTAACCCTGAATCCGCAGGCGCGGAGGCCTCAAAGGTCTCCTTACCCCTTCTTACATTATAGTTCAAATTAAAAGAACCCAATTTTCCCTACGTTCCCCGCGCTTTGAAAACCGGCGGAATAGCGAAATATTAGCGATTCGTTGAACCTCGTTAGCTTGCCGGGTAGATCCTCGGTGCTGTTTTATCCACTTTTAACCACGACCATCGACTTTCGAATATAACGCACATTGTATTTACGTTAAACTTATCGAGCATTGAACGCGACTGGAGTGTTGTTGTTTTGCAGGGATGGCAAGATTGTTATTTTTGTTATTTTTTGTATTAGAAGATATTAATGGGTTAAATTTTATGTTTGCGTATACTTGGAATATTTTTATGTTGGTGTGTGCTTGGGCTGTTTTTATATTAGTGTTTGCTTGGGATATTTTTATATTAGTGTGTACTTGGGCTATTTTTATGTCAGTGTGTACTTGGACTAGTTTTATATTACAGTGTACACTTGGATTATTTTTATATCAATGCATAGTTGGACTATTTTTATGTCAATGTATAGTTGGACTATTGTTATATCACTGAACAGTTGAACTATTTTTATAGTTGCATGAACTTGGACTAT